CCACTCCCATCCCCAGACACACCCAGGGCTGTCCTGCCAAGGAGAGGGCAGCTGCAGTGGGCCTGGGCCTGTGGGCAGGAAGGCAGGACCACCAGAGTTCACTTGGGGGTCCAGTGGGATCCTTGCTGGGAAGGACACCTGGAAGAGGCGTCACCTGAAGGCGATGCTCATCAGTGTGTTGACGGCTTCTTCCAGGTCCCTGCCTGTTGTGTCTCCAGCAGAGGGTCCCTTTCCCCCCCATCCTCCTCAGGGCTTGTCCATAAGGTGAGGTGGTCTCAGAATAGCGGTGCTTTAGCCAGATTACTGTGTTGGCCTACATCGAGGATTAGGAGATCGGGGCCCGCCCAGGGACCTGCGGACAGGCCGCCCTGGCTGGGATACAGGGCAGCCAAGGGGAGTCTGCCAGCCACCTTGGGGGCCCCCAGATGGAGCCCTGCAGGGGCTGGCAGAGGAGGGAGCTGCACCAGCCAGCACAAGTCCCCCTGGGTGCCCCTGTGCGCCAGGGGTGCCCCAGCCCCCAAGTCTGCACCTGGCCCTGCTCACGTGTCCTAAGCATGAGGTGTCTGGGTGGGTGAGTTGAGGAGTGGCCTTTTCCTGTGCTCAGTGGGCGGGGCTGGCTGCCTTGGGAGGGATTTAGTGCTCAGAGAGTGGGGAGCGAGCAGGGATTACCACCCCCTGCGGGCTCTTCTGGAACCACCCCAGGCTGGTCCCTGAGTCTGCATCCCACCAGGAGGTGGGTCCTGCTGGGCATGCTGGGGGTGGTCGGGTGGGCGCAGAGCTGGGCGGCTGTCATCTGGAGCTCCCCCCCCCCCCCCGCTCCCTGTCTTGAGCCAAGTGCTAGGGGTGGTCCACCTGCCCAAGCATCGGAGGGGTGAGGAAGCTGTGGTCCCTTGGGTTCCCACGTCCCACTGGAAGCTTCCAGAACAGGGCTCAGGTGCTGCTTACTGACCGAGGCTGTCTTGGGTGTGGTGCCTGGAGACACAGGGATGGGGACCCTCCCAGGCTCCAAAGTCCAGGACTGCATGGCCAGGGAACTCACATCTGTGGCTGATGTGTGTGACACCAGCTAGCCCCGGGTGAGGCACAGCTAGGTTGGCGCTGGGTTCCAAGTCCAGCTCCATCCCAGTCCCTGGCTGACTTCACACAGGGTAGCGGGGGCACCAGCCACCCCGCCCACTTCCAGTTCTGGGTACATCCCTCAGGCCTCGCTGATCCCCTCTCCCTCACCCACAGGAATGTCAGGACCAAGGCCTGTAGTCCTGAGTGGACCATCGGGGGCGGGGAAGAGCACCCTGCTGAAGAGACTCCTGCAGGAACACGGCAGCATCTTCGGCTTCAGCGTGTCCCGTGAGGCCTGGGTTGCAGGGGCAGGGGGCAGGAGGGTTTCAGGGATGCTGGGGGTAGGACCAGGCCACCTCCTGACCCACCTGTGGGGGAGCCCCACACTGCACTCCCTGACCTGGGGCCCCCACACCCACCTGTGGGGGAGCCCCACACCACCCAGAGCCCCACACTGTACCCCCTTACCTGGGGCCCCCACACCCACTCGTGGGCTGAGCCAGGCCCTGCAGAGAAGGCCATGCATGGGTGTAGGGGCACCAGGTTCCCAGATTGGTCATAGGTGTTTGTTCCTAGACACCACGAGGGACCCACGGCCTGGAGAAGAGAATGGGAAAGGTGAGCTCACCCCTTGGCGTCTGTCTCATCTGAGAGATGGACCCCCGCACAGGGTGGGCAGGCAGCATGCTGGCACCCAGGAAGAGATGGGGTGGGGGCCTCAATCTCTGCATAAGGTCCCTGAAGGCACCAGTCTTGACACACATGCCACTCCACACATGGTCCTCTGATTGATGTAGACATCACAGTTGTGTACCATCAGGGTCCCTCTGATACTGCAGGTATCTTCTGTGTCTTAGTAGGATCATGGGAGTCCCCTGAACCTCCCCTGTCCAGGCCGGTAGTGTCCAGGATCCCCTGTCCAGGTCGGCAGTGTCCAGGCCCCCCTGCCCAGGCCGGCAGTGTCTAGGCCCCCCTGCCCAGGCTGGCAGTGTCCAGGCCCCCCTGCTCAGGTCAGCAGTGTCCAGGCCCCCCTGCTCAGGTTGGTAGTGTCCAGGCCCCCTGCCCAGGCCATCAGTGTCCGGGCCCCCCTTCCCGAGGCTGGCAGTGTCCAGGCCCCCCTTCTGAGGCCAGCAGTGTCCAGGCTCCCTCTAGCCTTCCTTTGGAAGCCAGTGGTTTCCAGGCTCTCCTCGATGTCATGTGTGTGTTCTGCTCAGCGCCTAGAACAGCCCCTTCGTGTGGGGCGGATGGGTACACCGGAGATGCTGGTCCTGGCCACACTTGGTGCCCAAGCCCCTGGTGGTCTGGCCATGGGCAAGGCTCAGATAGCCCCTCCTTGCAGATTACTATTTTGTGACCAGGGAGATGATGCAGCGGGACATTGCGGCTGGTGACTTCATTGAGCACGCGGAGTTCTCGGGGAACCTGTACGGGACCAGGTGGGCCACACTTGGCACCTCCACACCCTCCCAGGGGCTCTGCCTTCAGCTGGACAGGACCTCTGAGGGTCGTTTGGGCAGTTGGGAGTCAGGTCCCCAGCCCAGCCAGGGGTCGAGCTCTGCAGGCCCCTCCTCCCAGCCACCTCTGTCCACCTGGCCAAGCCATGGTGAGGTCCGCAGGCCCCTCTAGGGACTGGCGCTCAATGAGGACTCCAGCAATCTGGGTCTTCTAGGACCACAGGCTGTACTCAGCTTGCTCTCCCAGCAGTGGGCTGGCATGGGGGTGCCCCCCAGTCCCCAATACTTCTCTGCCAGCTCTTCCCACCCGGCTGAGAGGCCTACATCAGCCTGTGTGCACATCCTGTTCGTGAGCCGCTGGCAAGGGTGAGCCAGAGACCCTATGAGACCCATCTTGCTCCATCCTAGGCTCTAGGTACAGCTGGACAGGACAGTGGGGCTGTGTTGGGTGGGTGCCTGGTGCCCTGGGGCTGTGCAGTGAGCCCTCCTGCCACTTCCCACAGCCACCCTCAGCCCAGCAGAGGGCCCAGCACACGTGTACTTCCAGAAAGGTGGAGGAGGTGCAGGGGTCCTGGTAGGTTTCTGCACTCATGTCCGGCCAGGCCCATGCCCTGCTGAGGCTCCTTGAGGCCATGAGGGGCTGCTGAGCCCCAGAAGCCCCACTGAGCATTTGCCACCCCTCTGTCCTCCCCACTCTGTCCTCCAGCAAAGCAGCGGTGCGGGCTGTGCAGGCCATGAACCGCATCTGCGTGCTGGACGTGGACCTGCAAGGCGTGCGTAACATCAAGAAGACCGATCTGCGGCCCATCTACATCTTTGTGCAGCCGCCCTCGCTGGACGTCCTGGTGGGGGGTGGGCCTGGGCTGGGGTGGGGGGGCGGGGCTGGGGGCAGGGCCTGCCCAGACACCCTGACCCTCCCCTGTGCCTCAGGAGCAGCGGCTGCGGCAGCGGAACACAGAGACTGAGGAGAGCCTGGCTAAGCGGCTGGCTGCTGCTCGTGTTGACATGGAGAGCTGTGAGTGTGGGCACTGGCCACCTGCCATCCCCCCAGGCTCCTCACCCACCAGGGAGACCCCCAGGGTCCCTGGTCACCAGAGATGACCCTGCCCTCCCTCTTCCCCCCTCCCCAGGCAAGGAGCAGGGCCTGTTCGACCTGATCATCATCAATGACAACCTGGACAAGGCCTATCAGGCCCTGGAGGAGGCACTGTCCGAGGTGGGCTCTGCAGGGTCAGGACTTGTCTGTAGTGCACGCAGGGAGAGGGGCTGGGACAGACGATGTGGCCTATCCCCTGGGCCCTCCTGATGCCCTTCTCTCCCTGTGGCAGGAAATCAAGAAGGCCCAAAGGACCAGCCACTCCTGAGAGGGACTGCCAGTTGTGTCCTCCCTGATGGGGACTCCGCTCACATCAGCCAGCACCTCCTCCCCCCAGACTGCTGTGTCTGGGGGACCCTGGCCTCCCCTTTCCCCCTCCTATGGGAGCCAGGCCCATGTCCTAATAAAAACTGCTGTGTAACCGTGTCCCTGAGCCTGTGGGTTGCCATCTTCAAGCCAGGGTGTTGGGGACTGGACCATGCTGTCCATCACAGACCCCGACTCCTGGCTGCCCCCTCAGTGCAGGAGGCTAGTGGTTCAGTTCTTTCTGGTGTCTGCTGCTCTGGGCAGCCCACCCCCAGCTTCCCTGTGCACTGCCTCCCTGGGGCTTCCTTTGCCCCTCCCCTAGGTCAGGGAGGTCAGTCTTGGGCGCTGGGTGGGGCCCTCATGGAGTAGATAAGGCCACTGGAGAGCATTGCCTGGTGGAGGTGCCCTGAGGCTGTGGGCAGTAGGACCTGGGGCTCTTCCTGCCTGAGCCCCTCCTGTCCTGGTTCCTGAGCTGGGCTGCAGTGGTGGCCCAGGATCTGATGCAGGAGGGAGCTAGAACCCTGCATCCTGGGGGCCTGTTTGGGCCTAGGGCTCCCCTCCACCTCGTGCGTGGTCCGCTGGGCCCAGAAAGGCCAGCACAGGGAGGACCCCTGGGGGCTCCTGTTGGGGTTCCCAGATTCCCGGAGTCTCACAAGACACCTGTAGAAGCCACCCTTCTCGAGTCAGGGCTGCTGTGGCTTTGCCGTGCTGGGCAGGAGAGCTGTTGTCCCCTAGCCCTTGTCCGTGCCTATGCCACGCTTCTGTGGTGGGACCCAGACAATGGACACAGACTTGAGGTGGCAGGGAGTGGACAGGGAGGCTGGACTCTGTCCCAAAGCCCAGGTGCAGAGAGAAGGGCAGGTGGGGGCCTGGCCTGAATCCGAGGGCTACTGGACACCCCCACCCCAGGCCTGAAGGCAGGTGAGGCGGGGCCAGGCTGATGTGCAGAGGAAGGGGGGGGCAAGTAGGGGAGGCCCCTTCCCTTTCTGGGCCCTGTCCAGCCCCAGGGACAATCGGGGATTCAGACCCCAGGCCTTGGGGGGAACAATGGAGCCCTTGAAGGCCCTCCCCCCACATTGTGCTTGGTGGTGAGAGGTGGCTCTGGGTCGGGCCCACGACTCGTCCAGGCACATGCCCTGGGAGGGCCAGTGTCCGGCCGGCTGGCAGGTGGAAGAGCTCAGGGACTCACATTTCCTGGCCTGGAAAAGGTAGGGCACTGCCCAGGGGCCCAGGTGTGGGCAGCCCTCTGGTGCAAAGCATCAGGCACCCTGTCTGTGGGCCCAGGCTCGCTTCTCCCGACAGGGCCCGCCCTCCGTTGTGGTGGGGGAACCTGAAGCCCCAGGGGCTGTGCAGGCTAGCTGCTGAGCAGGAAGGGAAGGGGTGCTCTTCGGACATTCCCCAGCAGCTGGGGCTCCTCAGGGCGCTGGTCCCACTGGCCCACGCCAGCCAGGCAGCTGCAGTGTGTCCAGAGGCTGGGCCTTGGGCCTCAGTCTGCTCAGGAAGGCTGGGGAGGCAGACACACCCGGGTGGGTATACCTGTCCACCCAGCACACCGTTCCTGACCTGGCCTGGGGCCTCTTTCCCACAAGTCCTCACGGGTGCCTGCTAGGCGTCAGGGGCCCCAGGGGTCACCGAGGGCAGACCAGACCCCTGTTCTCCAGAAGCAGCCCCCAGTGTGCCAGAGATGTCGTGAGTGAGTCGTCTGGGCGGCCCAGGGGAGAATGGGGGAGAGGGCGGGTGGCCTGGGCAGGATGCCAGGCCAGGAGTGGCCCAGGCCTGTGGCAAGCTTATCCGGAGAGGGCAGGTGGGTGCAGCGATGGTGTAGGGCATGGGGTCTGTACAGGAGGGTCTGCAGGGGGTGTCCAGGACCTGGGAAGGGTGGCAGGAGCTGGGAAGAGGGGGGAAGGGAAGTGGAGGTACCCACCTGGCTGTAGAGGGAGCGTGGCCTCCTGCCCTTGTCGGCGGTGCCTGGGAAGGTCTGGAGGGTCCCAGAGTGGGGTGCCCTTGAGGTCCTGGCCGGCTCCCCATGCCCAGGGCTCTCTCCGGGCCTCTCCGCAGTGGTGGCCCCAGAATCACCATGACTCACTCCCCAGACACAGCCCCTGTGGGACGAGGACCCCTCCCTTCCTGGGTTGCAGGGGAAACTAATCAGAGGGGCCCTGGGTCCTGAGCGGGGAGTGTGGCCGGGGGGGGGGGGCGGGGGGGCGGGGTGAGGGGAGGCACTGTGGCCGCAGAGGAGGGCTGTCGTCAGCCTGGCCAAGCTCCCCCAGTGCATCCTGCCTCTGCTGAGCACCCATGTGGTGGGTCTGGAGGAGGGGCTTGTGTGTGTGAGCAGAGGGTGAGGTGGGTGAGTGTGCTAACGCTTGTGTGTGCACCTGTGAACACGTGTGGACATCTGCATGTGGGCTAGCGCTGAGTTGGATAGGAGGGCATCAGGAAGGCCCTAGGACCCTGTGAGGGTGGGGGCTTCATTCTGAGTGCACAGGGCTCCCTGGGACCCAGTCCTGTGGGCCTGTGACCCCAAGGGTGGGCTGTGGGGGTGGAACCTATAGGTGGAGTGAGGAACAGGACGGGGCATGAAGGTAGCACCTCTGGGGGCTGGAGAGGGGAGGGAGAGGGGAACCTAGGGGATAGCAAGGAAGGGAGACAGGAGGCACCTGGGTGAGGGGCTGGGGAGGGGAGACAGAGGTGGGGAGCCTGGGGAAGGGCCTGGTGAGGGGAGACAGAGAGGAGCCTGGGGGCTGACCAGTGTCCACACTGACGGGGAGGTTGTGGTACCCTTGGGAGCTGTAGGGGGCAGATGAATGTGGCAGAGGGTCACAGGTTTGGGGACTCGGCAGCCTAGGGGTATGCAGTTTCCTCTGGGCCAGGTGGTCCAGGTGGAACCTGACTGGGGCATCGAGGACACTGGTCCAGGGGCCCAGGGAGGGACATGCAGGACAGAACCCCGTGGAACAACCACAGAGCAGACAAGGGGAGACCTTGGGTGAGTCCCACGGCTGGGTGAGGCCCTGGGCTCTGAGCTAACGCATTCAGGGCCGTGCAGGTGGTCACATGAACAAGGGGCCACCCAGGGCTGGGCATGCTTAGGAAGGGGCTAGGCTCTGGAGCCCCAAGGTCCCCAGGGAAGAGTCCCACTGCATATTCAGTGATTCTCAGCTGAGCATTCCAGCGGGGGGGTGGGGGGGTGCTGGCAGCCCCACCTCAGTGGGAGGAAGCCCCGCCTGCCCTGAGAGGGGGCTCCTGGGAGGAAGCTGGGTCAGGGATGGGAAGGAAGTGGCTGGGCAGGCCCTGGCCCTCAGCCCCTTGCACACCCCCTCCACTCCCAGGACCTTTGTCCAGACCCAGGGGTGACAGGAGCTTGAAGTGCAGAGCCCACCAGCCTCCTTCCGAAGTCCTCCCTTCCCCCAGCCCCACTGCTGTCCCCTCCCAGATCCTGACACCCAGCCCGAACACTTGCTGATGGATCCCGCTGAGTGCGATCCCACCCACACCTGCTCTGAGGCATCTAATCTGAGCAAAGGCCCCTGCAAACCAGCACCCCTACACCCCCCCCCAGGTGGTCACCCCTCCTTAGGGTCAGGGTCCTCTCTGGGCCTGCAGCCCTAGGAAGCCATCAGCCAAGGTCCTGTTCCCTGCCTGCAGCCTTCAGAGACATACCTGCCAGAGGTGGGGCGGGGGGCACACCGGGAAAGGGGGCTCCCACTGATGGGGCAGGAAGGTACTGCAGTGTGGTTATTTTACAGCCTCTCATCAGTGCACCGGTGTCACTACCACTGTCACTACCCTGTCATGAACATAAGTCCACGTTCTTTCTCTGTGTCCTTCTTCTGCCCTGGAGTCCACCAGGGGCACCAGAGCATTTGCCCTCCAGCTCCTCCAGTCCCCCAGGGACATGTGATTGTTTCTCAAGGGTCCCCCCAGGGTTTCGGGAGGTATGTGGTCGTCTCCCAAGCATCCCCGCAGGGTCTCAGGAAGCATCTGGTCATCTCCCAAGGGTCTTCCCAGGGTCTCAGGAGGTATGTGGTCATCTCCCGAGCATCCCCGCAGGGTCTCAGGAGGCATCCTGAGTCTCCCAAAGGTCCCCCCAGGGTCTCAGGAGGCATGTGGTCGTCTCCCAAGGGTCCCTCCAGGGTCTCGAGAGGTATGTGGTCGTCTCCCAAGCATCCCCACAGGGTCTCAGGAAGCATCTGGTCGTCTCCCAAGGGTCCCCCCAGGGTCTCAGGAGCATCTGGTCATCTCCCAAGGGTCCCCCCAGGGTCTTAGGAGCATCTGGTCATCTCCCAAGGGTCCTCCCAGGGTCTCAGGAGGTATATGGTCATCTCCCAAGCGTCCCCACAGGGTCTCAAGAGTCATCTGGTCATCTCCCAAAGGTCCACCCCCAGGGTCTCAGGAGGCATCTGGTCATCTCCCAAGGGTCCCCCCAGGGTTTCGGGAGGTATGTGGTCGTCTCCCAAAGGTCCACCGGCAGGGTCTCAGGAGGCATCTGGTCATCTCCCAAAGGTCCCTTCAGGGTCTCGGGAGGTATGTGGTCATCTCCCAAGCGTCCCCGCAGGGTCTCAGGAGGCATCTGGTCATCTCCCAAAGGTCCCCTCACGGTCTCGGGAGGTATGTGGTTGTCTCCCAAGCATCCCCGCAGGGTCTCAGGAGGCATCCTGTAGTCTCCCAAAGGTCCCTCCAGGGTCTTAGGAGGCATCTGGTCGTCTCCCAAAGGTCCTTGCAGGGTCTCAGGAGGTATCTGGTCGTCTCCCAAGGGTCCCCATCCCGGGTCTCGGGAGGTATTTGGTCGACTCCCAAGCGTCCCCGCAGGGTCTCAGGAGGCATCTGGTCGTCTCCCAAAGGTCCCCCCCCTGGGTCTCAGGAGGCATGTGATCGTCACCCGTGGGCCCTCCCCCAGGATCTCAGGAGGCATCTGGTCATCTCCCAAGGGCCCTCTCCCAGGGTCTCAGGCATATGGTCGTCTCCCGAGGGTCCCCCCGCTCAGGGTCTCAGGAGGCATGTGATCGTCTCCTGAGCTCCAACCCCCCCCCCCCCCAGAGTCTCAGGCATGTGGTCATCTCCCAAAGGTCCACCCCAGGGTCTCAGGCACGTGGTTGATATCTGGTCATCTCCTGAGGGTCTCAGGCACGTGGTTGTCTCCTGAGGGTCACCCCCATGGTCCCTCCTGGCATGTACTTTTCTGCAGGGTCTCATGTGACATTTAGTCATCTCTTAGGGTCTCCTTAAGGTCTCGGGTGGTATTTGTCTCCTGAGCGTGCCCCCAGGGTCTCAGTGGCTCGTGGCCATCAGGTCTCCTTGTCCACGCTGCCGGGTCCAGCCCTCAGTTCCCTTGTGATCACACCCCTGACTGTGTTGATGTCAGGTATCTGTAGCCGCCTCTACAACTGTTTCCTGTTGTCTCTCCATTACCTGGGTGCTTTCTGCGGAACACCAGGGCATCTACACGTGTGCTACAAACCGGCCTCTCACTGGGGTGGGGACTTGGGCCAACGTCCACTGTCCGTCCCTTCTTGCGGTGCCGGCTCTCTGGAAGGGCCCTGCCGAGGAGTGGGGAGCCGTGTGGCATGGGTTGCATAAACTGTGTAGAACTCCCTTCTCTTCCACTTTAATTCGTTTAGTCGTTTATATCAGTACGGACTCACACTTATTTTATAGTCTAGTTTAGACGCTCGAGTCCAATCTGTAATACTGCCTTATTCCGCTATCACCCAGATAGGTGCAGCTTCCGACACACGGCGCTCCTGCGACGTGCTGCCAGCTCCCTCACTGTGTACGTGTGCGCGTGTGTGTGCGTGGCTGTGAACTCATGTGTGGGCGCGTACGTGAGCATGTGCGTGCTTGTGGGCATGAGTGTGCGCGCAGGCATGCTCACATGCGTGCTTTGTGCGTCGGTGTGCGCGTGTCGGTGCATGGGCTCCCGCTTGTGGGCACCGGGGCGCACGCGTGTGCGTGCTTTGCGCATCAGTGCGCGCGTGGGCGTGCGCACGTACATGTTTGTGGGCATCGGTGCGTGGGCGTGGTCACATGCATACTTTGTGCGTCAGTGTGCGCGTGTCATTGCGTGGGCTTGTGCTTGTGGGCATGGGGCGTGCGCGTGTGCGTGCTTTGCGAGTCAGTGCGTGCGTGGGCGTGCACACCCCAACTCATCGGCTCTTTGCTCTCCCGCCCAAGCACGTGCCCTGGCACCTTTCTTGTCCCCAACCTGGCACTGGTCGCTTCTCCAGGAGCACAGCGTCTTTTATGGAGAGTGGGACTGTGGTGCGTGTGTTTGCTGCTATGGATGTTTGCGCATCTCCACCCTGTCAGTTGATAGGCAAGGGAATACGCGTGTGTACAAACCCTGTGCACACTCGTGCCGGTGACATTCTCTAGGGAGCCATCTGTGTCATGTTCAGCTAACACGGGTTCACAACCAGGTCTCCCACGCTAACCCACGACCACATGGGACATTCCAGCACCCCCCCTCCGCCAGTCTACAACCCCCAAGCAGTGAGAACCCTAAATCTGATGGGTGCTGCCTGTGAGTCTCTGCCACCCTCCCAAAAGCAGCCTGCCTCCCCCAGTGCGCAGGGGATGGAGGAGAGGAGCCTTGCTCCCTACAGCTCCTGCTGGCCCGATTCTCTCCTGAGCTGAGGGTCTGGAGGGCCTGGCTCTGATGTGCCCTCTCTCCAGGGCAAATCTCATCTCTGGGGCTCTGACCCTGTGGGCTTGCCCCCCAGGGCATTGCGCCGTTCCTCACACCTCCCGCAGGGTCTGCCCCAGTGCAGAGTTAGAGCTAGTCCAAGAGTCCCCCATGCAGGCCCCTCTGCTCGGTCATGGGCGTGGTGGGCACACATACACCCGGGAATTGGCACACCCTACAGTGAGGTTCCCCCACACGCCTAGAGCTGGTTGTTAAATACCACACACCAAGGGCTCTTCCTCTTTCCACTTCTGGGGCACCCTCCTGGCAGGAAGAGAAGAGGTGGAGGCCCCTCTGCCACCCCTTTCCTGGGTTCTTGCGGGGTGGGGCTGTGGGTGTCAGCCTCCGGTGATGTGGTCCGGGGCAGGGACATATACTGGAAGAGTTGAGGTTAGAACGAACTGGGGGGGGGGGGGGGGGCCCACGAGTCACTGCCTTAGATGGGGGTTGGAGAAGGCAGCCTCGGAGGGCTGGGTGTGCATGTCTGTGTACCTGAGAGTGTGTGTGCATGTGCACCAGTGTGTTTGTTTATAATTGTGTGCAGATGTGAATGTGCACGCCTAGTGCTTGTACAAATATCTGAGTGAACCTCTGTACATTTGGGTTTTAAGTTTATTTCTTTTGAGAGAGAAGGGGAGGAGCAGAGAGAGAGGGAGACAGAGGAGAGAGAGAGAGAGAGAGAGAGAGAGAGAGAGAGAGAGAGAGAGGAGAGAGAGCATTCAAAGCAGGCTCCATGCTGTCATGGCAGAACAGGGCTCAAACTCACGAACTGTGAGATCATGAACTGAGCGGAAATCAAGAGATACTCTACTGACTCAGCCACCCAGGTGCCCCAAACCTCTGTGCATTTGCTTATAAGTATGTGCACACACAAGCATGCACGTGTGTCTGTGGGTCCATGTGCCCTGCTGTATGCACATGTGTGTCCGAGTGCATGTGTGGCTGTGCATTTGAGAAGCGCGTGTGCCTGTGTGGCTCTGAGGGGCGCTGCGCACAGATGTGAGGAAAGAGGGTCACTTCCCCAGGAACCCAGGCTGCCCCCTCTTCCTGCCCCCACCCACGGGGAGAGGCCCCAGCTGCATAAAGTGGAGCTTCCCCGGAGCCCCTGCCCGCCTGCCTCTGCTGCGCCATCCCACACCTGCCCACGCTGCCTCCCATGCCCATTCCAGAGGGAGGAGACCAGAAGCATTAGGCACCCTGGGGTCTCCTGTCCCCAAACTACTCAGCAGCAGGTACTGGCCTTGGTAGTGAAGGAGGTAGGGTGGGCGGTGGGAGGCTGTAGCCCCTCCCCCCTTCCTGGAGGCGCAGGGAGGTGAACGCAGTGGCCTTCTCTTCCCCGGCAGGGGCCCACCCAGGGATCAGCCGATCTGCAAGGGGGCACTGGTCTGGGACAGTGGTGAGTGGCCCCGCGGCTGTCTCCAAGTGTCACAGATGCCCTGGTGTCTGTGTGCCTCACGGACCAGTCGGTCCTGGACAGATGCCTGGCCTCACTTGTCTTCCCCGAGGGGATGTCTGGGCCAGGAGACAGCAGAGGGCAGGGTAGTGTCGGGACTAGAGAGAAAAACAGCCCAGAGGGCTGGGCAGCAGCCTGGGGCCAGCAGGTCCCTTGGGGGGGGGGCAGGAAGTGGATGGGGGTCCCCTGTACAGACGGAGGAAGCAGGGTGTGGAGGAGGGAGGGGGGAGGGGTGCACTGTTGGGGGAGACTGGGACATGGTTCTGGGCGGCCATGGGGCTCCAGGGGGTGGGTCTGGGGGATGAGGGCCAGTGGGGGGGGGGGGGAGGGAGCTGAGGAGCCCAGATCCTGGAGGCCTCCGGGATGCTGGGAACAGGACTCCATGAGACCCTCTCCAATGACCTGCGCGCTGCCTGGGTGCGGTGAGGGCCATGGATCTGAGCTGACCCTGAGTGGGGCGGCCCTTGGTTTCCCTTTTGGCCCCATGGCCCTGTGGCTCTCAGGGCCTGGGGTGGGTGGGGTCCCCAGAACTGGGGGACGGGCGCGGCTTATAAGGCGCTGGGCTATCTTGGGCGCTGGTGCTGCTGCAGGCTGGCTGGTGCCCAGTTCTGCTCACGGAGGCCCTGGCTTCTCCTGGTATCCATTCCCAGGATGTGGCCAGGACGGGGGTGGGGGGGGGGGGGGGGGGCCGGCGCCCCGGGGGGGGCGGGGGAGGGGCCCCGCCGCGGGCCCCCGGTGCGCCCCCCCCCCCTCCCCCCCCGCCCCCCCCCCCCCCCCACCTGCGTGCGCCCCTCCTGGCCGACGGTCCGTCTCCCCCTGAGGTTGAGCTCTGCTCCCGCTCCGCAGGTCCCACCCCCCGCCCCTATGACCAACATGAGCTGGAGTTTCCTGACGCGACTGCTGGAGGAGATCCACAACCACTCCACGTTCGTGGGCAAAGTGTGGCTCACGGTGCTGGTGGTCTTCCGCATCGTGCTCACGGCCGTGGGCGGCGAGTCCATCTACTCGGACGAGCAGACCAAGTTCACGTGCAACACGCGCCAGCCGGGCTGCGACAACGTGTGCTACGACGCGTTCGCGCCCCTGTCCCACGTGCGCTTCTGGGTCTTCCAGATCGTCGTCATCTCCACGCCCTCCGTCATGTACCTGGGCTACGCCGTGCACCGCCTGGCCCGCGCCTCCGAGGAGGAACGCCGCCGCGCGCCCCGCCGCCGTCCGACCCGCGCGCCCCTGCCGCTGCCCCTGCCGCCCCACCCCGGCTGGCCCGACTCCGCCGGCCTGGGCGAGGAGGAGCCCATGCTGGGGGGCCTGGGCGAGGAGGACGAGGAGTCGGGGGCGCCCGAAGGCCTGGGCGAGGAGGCCGAGGCCGAGGACGCGGGCGCGGCCAAGGGCGCAGGCGGAGACGCCAAGGCGGCGGGGTCCCCGGGTCCCGCCCGGCAACACGACGGGCGGCGGCGCATCCAGCGCGAGGGCCTGATGCGCGTGTATGTGGCCCAGCTGGTGGCGCGGGCTGCCTTCGAGGTGGCCTTCCTGGTGGGCCAGTACCTGTTGTACGGCTTCGAGGTGCGGCCTTTCTTCCCGTGCAGCCGCCAGCCCTGCCCGCACGTGGTGGACTGCTTCGTGTCTCGGCCCACCGAGAAGACCATCTTCCTGCTGGTCATGTACGTGGTCAGCTGCCTCTGCCTGCTGCTCAACCTGTGCGAG